GGGATACTAGTTCCCTTTGATACTGGGCCTTTTTTGGTGGCTGTTCCTGCACAGATTTCTGGGAGGACAGGGTGCGGCTCCACCAGTCTATTTCCTGCTCCACTTCCCTGATGCTCTGTAATGTATTTGTGTATTAAAAATTGTCTGTATATTAAACACCTAGTATTTTGGAATGGCGTTTGCAGAAACTCCACTGCATACCTTTATTTCTGCCTGTTAATCCAGTGATGAGTTTCCTTACCTCTGAACAGAGTTCAGTGATGTCCAGGATGTTTGGACTTCTCGTCAGTTGTTATCTCCTTCCTGCTTCCCAGCAGTGTGTGCTGGCAGAGAACCAGCGCTCTCAGGAGATGTCCTAAACCTTAGTACCTCTCAGAAACGGGGCCCCTGGGAGCAGAGCTCTGTACCCTTCTCACACAGTGCTGCAGTGTTCAGAACCACTGTTTCTGCATGTCCTCAGAGCTTGGTGAATCAAGATGCTGGGAACAGTTTCGCAAGCCGAGGATGTCAGTAAAACCCCCTAGGAAGCTGATAAGTTCTGTAGCTTGGATCTCTTTCTCTTCCCTGCCTGGCGTGAACATTTGTTTTAAGATGTCATATAAGCTCTGGGATGCTTCCAAGAACATGTGTTTCAGGGAGGGAGTTGATGGAATTCCTGCATGTTTCTTTGTATTTCAAATATAGCCCAGTGCCATTGTGAGTCTAGGCTGATGCTATTGGGAGGGGGGTCGATTGTTACAATATATGTTCTTACTGTGTCCCACAAATTTAAAGGAATTTTTGTAAGCTTTTGGAAAGCTTCATTGTATCCACTGTGTGCCACCCACCTTTGAAATTTGGAAGGAGTAAATCTGGGGGTCATGGTTTTTCTGTGTCCCTTGAAAGCTGCCCAGTTCTAATTGGGGCTCAAATACTGAAAAACCCTCCTCTGTGGTTTAGTTCACGTGTCTCAGAAAGCATCAGTGTGCCAAAGTAATACCCAGACAGCAATGCTGGGCCACGTGGCAGCACACAAACACTGCTGAGGGTTAAATGCAAGCAGCCTGCTTGGGAAGCGTGAGCTGGAAGGAGAGCTGGGTCAGGCTGCTCCCAAACCCAGTACCAAACCGCCACGAGACAGCCGTGTGCTGGAGTGGTAATGAACAGTTCATGCAGGCAGCTATTCCCATCCGTCTGCACCTTCTGGCTGCAAAGCGTAGCCAGGAGCAGGCTGCTCTGGACGTGCATTCTGGCAGCAGTTGGCACCTGGGTCTTCCCCCCCACCCCTGCCCCTGCAGTGTGTCAGTGGTAAATGGGCCGCTCTGCCTGGTTCTGTGTTGCCATGGGTATTAACAGTGCTGCAAACTCGGCGTGTAAGCTTTGCTGCTGTTTGGTGAGGTAAAGGGTTGTGCAGAATCAGACCCTACCTTTTCTTCTGTTAGCCCCAGTGTGTAGAGCAGACATAGGGAAGCAATTGAAGAAACCCATTACGGAGCGTGTGAAAGCTGAGGGTACTGAAAATTTAGGAATGGGTCGCTGTAGTGGAAAGCTGCATCGTCTGTCCTGAGCTTTCTTGGTGCCTGTGTCATGCTGGGCTGGGCCCGGATTTGCAGAGGTGCGGAGCTCTGTCAGGGATGCCAGGGAAAGGGAGCTAGTCCAGCGGGGAGCAGAGGTGTTTGACTTGCTCAGGTTTTCAGGCACTGCCAGTCCGTCATCTTACCTGCCCAACCCTTGCCTGGGCCACCTCCAGCAATCTTAAAGCCATCAGCACTGTCTCGTAGCCCTCTCCAAAGCTGCAGGCTCTGAGGTGCTCTGTTCCCCTGAGGCTGCCTTGCAAAGGACGGTTCAGGTGGTCTTACAGGGGAGCTGGGGCTGCCTAGGTTGGAGGTGGAGGGTGTTGATGGCTGCCTGATCCAGATCTTTTTTGTCTATTTCCCCAGCACATAAACAGCGTTCTTCCATCACAGTGAAGGTGACATTTTAAAATACTTGTGACATTCTTAGATGCTGTGATGACAAATGACCTAAGGTGTTGGGGGGAAAAAAAGGGGAGATGACTAATTCTGCAATCTCTTCCCTGCGTGAAGAGGACAAGTCAGGGACAGCTGACTGAACACACTTATCAGCTGCTTCTCTCCTTTTGCGTGCCAAGTGGCCTGCAGAGGTGAGGAGGAAACCAGTCTGCAGTTGCAGAAGCTGCGCATCTCCTCCTGAAGCCCTTGCTGGAGATGGCAAAGTCAGGCTTTTGTAGGTGACTGATGGCCGTGGTATTTCCAAGCCTTTGAGAGTGCTACTGCAATGTAAATGACTGCTTGTTTCATGTTGGCCGGCTGCTTTTTGTACATAACTTGGAAACCTCATCAGTGTAGGTGGCACATTACAACAAAAGCGGAATTGAACAGTGAGCTGCTGCCTGGTCCAAACGGGCTCCTTGGCTAACGGCCACGTGTGGGTACGGCTCAGGAGTGGTGGGAGCAGAGGGGAAAAAGCTCTGTTTGCTGCAATTGCTTAGCAGAAAGATGCTGTCTGTGGCTCCAAAGCAATTCCAGGTACCTCCTGTGGCTGCTCCTGGGTTTCGGCAGCTGCTGGGGCAACAGTACCTTTTCCCCACAGCTCTCTATCGTTGCCTAAAGAGGTACATGTTAAACTGCTGTGAATATTTCTGGTGCCTAAATGGGTCCTTGCAGTTTAGCAAGAAATCCCTCTCCTGGGCTGCAGATGAAGCAGGGCATTTGTCTGTGTGCCTGAATGTGAAATGTGCCATGAATCTGTAGCTTCAGCTGATCCCAGCTGACCCTAAGTGTTGGACAGGCTTAAAGTCAAAGCAAGTTTTAGCCTCATAAGGCAAAGGGTTAAAACATTGGTTACAAAATGGGAAATTACTGCAGACAGGAAAAATAAAGAAACACAGAAGAGGCAATGGTTAATACTCATGAGGCACGGGACAGTGACTTCTCTGAGGCTTATTTAAGAATAAATCTCCTCAAGAACAAAGTCTTCTTGAAAAACTTCTGCTTAGACCCCTGTTAACCTTTTCTCTCAAGAAGTAAATTGAATTGCAGTTATAAAGCTGGCAGAACTCATACCAGGGGGGTTGGCTTCGCTCAGCACTTCATCTCGGGGCTTACTGGCATTTCCAAGGCACTACCTATGATGCATTCACACATGTGATTAGGTTCAAGGGTCACTTGCACTGCAGCTATGTAGCAAATTTTTCCACAGTGGAATCAATCTAAAGTTTTCTTCTGCTTTTTACATCTTGCCCAAAAGCCAGTTACTTGAACTTTGCCCAGCTGTTTCTCGCTATT